CTGCCTTCGATTCCTTGGGGGGAAAATGAATCTAAGATGGGAGATCTGCTAAACCAGTGGCCTTGAGAGAAAGCTGCCAAACCCTGTCTGTGTGGGACAAGCCATTCCTCCTGGTTCTCTCCAGTCTGGCCGAGTCTCTTCCGTGCGAGGTTCCTAGCCCACAACAGAGTAGTTGAGGTGCACTCAGATGCCTCGTGAGAGGTCACTACATTCAAATCATAGTAACTGTTCTCCTAGGTTTTACATCAAGGCTATAGTCAGGGATTACTTCCCTTCCCAGTCTTACGGATTCAAATGCCATTTTCTTCTATGAAATGGTGACAGTAGCTGGTAAGATTTTTTTCAGACCCTGGCAGGAGGGGAAAAAGCTAGCAAGCAATACTCTTTGTCCATCTCCAAAATGATTGACTTCGGGGAATTTAATATTATTCTACAAATCCAAAAGCTCCCATGTATTGTACCTGCACCCAGCTTCTATTCAGTCAGAGTCAGAGGGAGACCTATTTAAGAACAGGCAGGGCTGAGTGTCCAAAAAGCCTTATGTGAAATCATCAACCCAAGATGACCTATGTCCAGTCTCTTTCACCCAGATGTCAGACCTGCTAGGAAGCTCAATAAAAGGCCAGCAAGATTTTGCAAGGATGGCAGCTTCTCACAATAACCAATGTCTTTCTCTGGCATCCCTTACCCAAACATTCATCACTCAATTTTCAGTTTAAATATTTCTCTCTCAAAAAAGAAACAGGTACTCAACCAAATTCATCGTGGGCTTCCTGCCAGACAGTAGGAAGCAAGCATATCTTCATGACTCAGGGGCTGATTTCCACATGGGGGTGGAGTTCAGTTGGAGGGTTATGCGGGTTTATGTTTGAAAAGTCCTGGGTGAGACTGAATCACTATATTGTACACCTGAGACTAACAGAACACTGTATGTTAACTAACTGGAATTAAAATGAAAAAACAAAGAAACCAGAAAAATCCTAGGTGAGAGAATTTTTTTAATCCAGACTTTTGGCAAAAACGGTCTTCTTGCAGATCCCCTAAAGATTATCCTATGGCTCTCAGTAAATATTCTGACAAGGGGTCTTAATCTGGACGATTTAAGCATAAATGGCTTCCTTCGAATCTTCAGTATTTTATGCATTTGAAAACCTAATCTTACGAAGGGTTCTGAGACTTTTCTAAATGCCAGAGGTGTGCGTGTTATAGAAACATCGGGAACCTCACATCCAAATCCTGTCTGGTTCTCTCTGGGAGGGGACAGGCAGGCTGGTTGGTCCTCTGTCACAAGCGCTTTCCCGCCAGTCACTTGAATGCCCAGACAACTTACTCTCGAAGACCTCTGTTCCAGTGTCACCTTACCAGAGAAGCCTCACCTGACTGCCTCTGTAAAGTAAGGCTGCCTCTGGCATCCCTGCTGCGTTTTTGTCACGGCACCCGCGTCCCCCCACACCCCTTCTGTAACGACTCTGCCCCCCTCACTAGCCCAAAGCTCAGCAAGCACCCACAGAGGGAGGGCAAGGGCCTGCTTTCACTGCTGTACCCTCACCAGCAAGAGGAATGAGGAGCACATGCAGATGCGATGGCTACTGACTGAATGCAGGCATCTTCTTTCAACAGCTTTGGTGTTAACTATTAAAAGGAGGCGGCAGAGTTTGAAATTTCTGAACGGGAAAACATGCTCTGTACGTGAGCAACAGCCCTCAGAAATCTGTCTGCCGCAGCAAGCTGCCGTTGGGGACTCTGTCCTACAGATCCAGGAGCATGGACACCCACATACAGTTAGCGTCCCCGTGGCACCGTTGGTCGGAACACTCAGAACAACCACAAGTTCATTCGCAGAGAACTGGTTAAAACAGTTTTGCGTACTATCTAGGGCACCAGAACCACACCATGGAATTCTCAAGAGCCAGCTCTATGCTGAGAGGGGCAGAACAAGGGAGTCAGAACAGCAGTGAAGGTGTGTGCCAGGCACTGTCGTAAGGACTCGACCGCATTTTCTCCTAAGCCTCCCAAGCACCCTGTGTTCAGTCTCCATTTCACAGATGAGGAGACTGAGCTCCCAGAGAAATTAAGTCACTCACTAAGGTCATGCAGCCAGAAAATGGCAATTAGATTGCAAAGCCAAGTGAGCTGGTACCCTTCACCACTGTGACACCCTGCCAAAACAGTGGGTAGCATCTTTTATATGTGTTTATATCTAAAGGCAGGGACGACGAGGAGGGCTTTACGGATCTCTATGCTTTTCCATGCATAGACTTTCTGCAAGGTGCATAGACGTTCATTACAGAGACTGCTCTGGGGAGGCAGGGGGGGCTGTGCTGAGAATTCTTACAGCATCCTCCTTTGTACCATCCCCACTCTTACACACATTACTGAGGCACAAACACAGTGCAATGATTCAGTCATTGAAATGTGAGCCTGGAATGGACCCCATCATTTTTATGGGAGGGGGTAAACTGAGGCCCAGACTTGCCTGAGGCCACCCAAGTAGGCAGGAGGAGCCCCAAGGCACCATCAGGGCCCCGGACTCGCAGCCCCAGTGGGTTCTGCTGTCTTCTCTCTGGTTCCACGATAGCTGACTCAGCTGTCACAACTGGAGACTTTCAAAACCTCCCAATTACATCGAATTGGGGGGAAAATTATGATTTGGAATTCAAGTGTTGACACTTGAAAAATACCAACTCCCTTTTACTCCAAGTGCTTTAGCATGTTACTAAGGCTTTCTCCTCACGTCTCTGGAAAGGTTATTTTCAGAACATTCCACTTAAACCTGGAGATGCAGGTTCTCTGCTGTTTCTGGGAGCTGACACCACAATTTACATTAAACAAATGTTTTGAAAATTAGCTGTTCACGGTTCCAATTTCAGCTTCCCCCAGGGTTTAATGTTAGCCAAATACTGGTACAGTAAGCAGACAATGTGTTTTATTGTGTGGAAGAAAAACAGACCACCATAACAGACTTCCTGCTTTTGTAATCAAGGGGAAAGCTGAGTGTTTGAGTGATTATTGGCATATGGTTATTAGAAACAGTGAGTTCCAAATATAGCTACTAGAGCTACACACACACACACACACCCTTCATTTCCAGTCCAAAAAGAAAGAAACAGCATTCCTAGTGTTTGGTAAAGTGGGAAGGCCAAAAAGCCGTCAGACAATTACTACTAGGGGAAGATCAGGGGTGACAGGAGCAGGGTTCAGCCCAGGGTTGCCCGAGGCACACAGAGGGGCTACTCCAACGTCAGTAAGCAGTGGGTCTGCATGAACAAGGGCCACGCTCGGGCCACAGCTGGAGGAACACTAAGCCAAGCACCAAGGGCCCTGCTCTGCGGGCAGCCAGCATCCTGGGGCCTGTGATCCAGAGATGAGGGACCTGGCATCTTCATCTTCTAACATTTAGAAAGGCTTGCACAGGCACGTCCCCCTGCCTTCCCTGTCGTCCTGTTCCTCCCCGCAAATGTAAATGTTGAAAGGAGAGAGAGAGAAACAGTTCAATCTGCTAATTTTATACTCGGCAGGAACGAGTAAGGGAGCATTCTGTGACATCCCCGCCTGGCCGTGAGCCTCCCCCTAGGACTTGTGAGCTAGGTGGAGTGTACAGAGCTGGAAAGAACTTCCAGGACACTCTTCAGTTACACGGTTCTCTCTCAGAGAGCTGGGAGTGATTCTCAGCTAGGGGGTTGGGGCAGGGCGGTGGCCTGTGGGCAAGATGATTTCAGATTTTGTTGTTTTCAGGGAAGCATTTGTTCACACCCAGCAGCGCGTACAAAAACTACAGCTTCTTCCACCTCAACTACCAAAGGCTGGCCAACAGTGTAGATAGGAAGTTGGGGGGCCGGAGGCCTGCTTGTGGACCGGCTCAGGGTGGGGGGATATGCTGGGAGGGTGGACGGGAGTCGGGTGCAAGGGCAGTGGTCCTGCAGCCTGGCCTGGCAAAGTGTCCTCACCATCTCAAATGGGCAAAGGCTTTGAGTTCTGGTGGGAAGAATGTGCTGACACTGCATCTGACCCACAAGGCATCTCTACGGAGCTACTACTGAGGGTCTCACAAAATAGGCAGGTCACCTTCTGCCAGAGGTAATTTCCACCTAGTCTGGCTGGAGACCAGAAGGATCAAACCTGAGGGGGTGCCCCAGGGCAGGGGGGAGCAGGACAGCTTAAGATTCCATTTTGTTAATGAGGAGTTCTCACTGCCTGGTCCCTGGCTGGTTGGCCCTGGAGGCTGTGACAAGAGCTCAGAGGCTGGGTCCAGTGAGGCAGGAACACAGAACACCTGTTCCAGTTGCTCTGGGGCCTCCCGCCGATGCTCAGACAAGGGAGCGCAACCACCCACAGGCCCAGACCTCCCAAGGCTGGGCTGCCACTCCACCATGAGGATCGGGTCTGGGGATTAGCCGGCCTGCCCCACCCACGAAGACATTAGGTCACACTACTGAGAGCGCTTCACTCGCCACAAAAAGATCGGCACCTGGGACCTCATCTCAGTCCAAGCTGGGTCTGGCAGGAGCATCTGAATTCCTCTGTTTTCTTCCTTAACAAGGCAACCATTCTGAAGAGCTAACTGCCTGAACCATCCTTCCTCGAAGATGCTCAGAGGACATGCAGGCATGGCAACATAGTGAGAGTTCTGAGAGCGTCAGAGGCAAGTAGGCAGCCAGCGCCCTCAGGTAGGACTCGATGGCAGCCGCCCCAACACAGGAAAGCTCCTACACAACCCAGGTCCCTTCCCAGAGGTGTGAGCCTCTGCCTGGCAGGCCAGGAATGGGGTCCTTCCAGCCTGGGGGCTATCTGCCCCAGCCTCCTCCCCACATCCCCCTTGCCTGCAGGAATCCAGTTTTTTGCTCAGATTCTGGTCACTGGAGCTGGGCTAGCCTCTCTGCAAGCAGCTCCCACACGTTCCTTAGTCCTTGGATAAGCCCTCAGCAGGAGGGAGCCACTCATGACCTCACCGACCTGCACCTGCCCTGCCCCAACCCACATACACCTGCCCAATCACATACCTTGGATTTCCGGGCCCCTTTCTTGCCTCCTGCTTTCTTAGACACGGGCTTCTTCTGGGATGGAGACTTGGCCTTTTTGGCTGGGGGTGGCGTGATGATGGCTTCCAACTTCCCTTTGGATCCTCGTTTCTTTGCTAGCAGCTCCGGGTGGATGTTTGGTAACACTCCCCCGCTGGCTATGGTGACTCCTTTTAGCAGCTTGCAGGAAAATCAAGATAGCAGATGGTTAGCCTATCTACCCTGTCTCTGACCTTCAAGAAGTCTGCCCTGCCCATTCACATTCTTGCTTTGCTTGGTCGAGCTCCTTCCTCCACGGCATCTCCAAGGATGCTGACAGGACTCACGCTCAGTATACAGGGAGCAGGTCCTCAGAGTCCCTCACTCCAGTGAAACTTCACTATCTTTCCTCCAGGGAGGGCCAAATACCTTGTTTCATTCCCTCCTGTCCCCAAATAAAGCCTTGAGGAAAAACTGGCATGGGGGTCAGAGAAGCTGCTAATAGTCCAAAACGCAGTGCATACCTCTGACAGCCAGCCAAATGCCAACCTCCCTGTGTCTCTCGGGCAGCAGGACTGCCTGCCCAAGCGTCTGGCAGGGGAGGGAGAAGAGTGCCCCATACCTGATTCAGCTCCTCGTCGTTGGCCACAGCCAGCAGGATGTGTCGGGGCGTGACCCGTCCCTTCTTGTTGTCTCTTGCTGCATTGCCCGCCAGTTCCAGAATCTCAGCTGCGGGGAGCAGAGTGGGAGAGCATCCGGTCAGGTGAGAGCGTCAGAGGATCTCAGGCAACCTCCCGGGCCCCACGTTCACGGCCCTGGGCACGGGCAGCAGCCTCAAGAAGCAGCTACCCCGAGGCATGAAGCTGCAGGTGCTCTGCCCCACCACACTCTGAGCTGAGTCGCACAGGTGTTGAATGGGACCAGGAGGCCCCTCTGCTCCATCCCCTTTGTTTTGGAGATGAAAACATGGAGGTCCCCCAGTAAGAAGTGGTGGAGTGCACATGTGACCCTGTTTCCCACAACGGGCTGCCTGCAGTCAGCCCTCCACACGCCACCAGGACCAACCCTGCAGAGCCAGCAGTGCGTGCGGCCCCGACAGTGAGCCGTGCATCCTGAGCAGCGGGTCATGCCTGCGTTTCTGGGACGGCAGGGGCTTGGCCAATCTCTGTTGACAAAAGCAACATCGAACACCTAGACATTCAGACTCAAAACTAAAAGCATATGACGGGATTCCACCAAGTCAACATCCTAAAAACATAAAGAGAAAGAGGCAGGATGCAATAGAACAGGCTGAAGAAGCCTAACAACCAAACACAACGTACCAAACCTATCAATGCTTGATGGGATACTGATTACAAAAAAAAAGAAGAAAAGCGAGCTATAAAAGTCACTCTGGACAAAACTGAGATCTGAACATAGACTGGATATTAGATACTAAAGGATTATTAATTTTCTTGGGTGTGACCATAATGTCACTACTCTGGAGAGAACCCTGTTTACAGGAGATATGTGCCTAAATACTAGGGGCTGAAGGATTTTGACGTCTGCCGTTTACTCTCAAATACTTGCAACAAACTCCACAGAGTAAAGCCAATGTGGTGATATGTTAAGTGCTATTAAATCTAGGGGTGTGATGTAAGTGTCCCTCATTCAGCATTCTGTATGCTTGACACTGTAGAACTAAGATTTTATATGAGAGAGAGAGCACACACAAGCAGGGGAGGGGCAGAGGGAGAGGGAGAAGCAGACTCCCCGCTGAGCAGGGAGCCCGATGCGGGACTCGATCCCAGGACCCTGGGATCATGACCTGAACCGAAGGCAGACGCTTAACCAACAGAGCCACCCAGGCGCCCCAACACTGTAAAACATTTTAAAAACTCTCGGGTTCATTTGCCTGGCCTTCAGAGCAGGCCCTTAGAGGACAGGACGACGGCTCGTCCACAGCACCAAAGATGGGCAGAAATAGCAAGTGCCCTTTGGCAAGAGAGTTTTTCCTCCTCCGCAGCATAGTTCTCTTGGGAAATGTCGACATCAACCTTTCCTCATTTTTCCTAACCCAAATTGTCCTAGAACGCATCTTACACTCCCCTCCCCACATCAGCAATTCTGCCCGTGCCACCGCCCTGCCTAGGACCACTCCCCTGGGGGCCGGGCTCAGGCCTGACCTCCTCCTGGTACTGAAGAATTCCTTGTATTCCGGGTTGTCAGTACTAAAGATCTCCAGCAAAGTCAGAACTCAGAATCATTATAAAGTAAGGAACAGATCCCATATTTAAACTTGACAGGATGACATAGTGCACGTGAAGGAGTGCTAGCGGCTGGGTCCGATGCAGTACCGACGGCGTAGAACGCTGAACAACTGCTTGGCCACTCCCGTTCCTAGTGGCGGTGGTGGGAACCAGTCACACCGGGCACAGGTTTCCACTAGGAACCCAAGGCAGGAATTCGGTGACTCAGTAATCACGTCACTGATGACACACTACCCCCAGAGGTACCACGAGGCCCGTGCCTACGTGGCACTCCCAGGCCAGAGTCCCTCACCTTGAATTTCCCATTTGAGAATCACTAGAGGGAGGCCCTGTGAGGACAGGGTGAGAACCAGTACATTTCCCACCCTTAGCCGTTAATCTCAACAGGACTGTTCCCCCTGCAGCCTGAGTGCAGATGGAGGGGGAGATAGCCCACCTGCCGGTTCCACTGAAGCTTCCCTGTAAGTGATGGTGGCAATGTGCTCCAACGTCCAGCAGAGACAGACCTATCTTGGCCAAGCAGGAAAGGGTGCCTGGGATATGCCCAAGTGACCCTAAGCGCCAGATGCCATGATGCAGAAATGGGCCCAGCCTGGGCTTCTTCCTCCTTCACTCCTGGAGGATGCACCACACCTGCAACACTATGGTCCTGCCCACGGCTGGGGAGGAAGCTACAGTAGGAGCCTCACCTGATGTGAGCACAGCCTCGAGGGGTAAAGGCCGAGAAGAGAGCTAGCCATAGCAGTTCTGGGGGGAGCCCCGGGGGCCAGGGAGGAGCAGCTGCGACCACAGAGTTGTAGCCATCTGCCATTCCCCCTGGCCTCCACTATCCCCTCACCTCCTCACCATCCCCTGCTTTCTGGGGCCACAGGGAAACATGGGCCAAACAATACCTACAGAGCCAGAATGTACAGGAGGAGTCTGGTGACTACCACCTTTTCCCAATAACGCGCTAAGAACGCTCTCCCTGGCCTTCATTAGACAGAGACCCACAAGGGTGCCCTAAGCCCACCCCTCTGGCACGCTCATGTGAAATTATGGTTTCTCAGGCAAGTGGACATGGCTTGTTTCCTCTTACTGCCCGGAGTGGTAGTGAAAGGCTCTCTCCCAGAGAAGGTACATGGCCACTGTGGGGAGAAGCTGTGGTCTTATTTTAGGCACTGCTCCTTTAACTTGTTCTGAGCACAGTGATGGACACAAAGGCCCGGGGGGAGGGGAGGGGTCACCGCAACTGAGTGGCCTTGGGCCGCTCATTTGGGTGGGACACAGACGGCATGTGACACAAGGATATAAAGCACAGCAGTGACCTGTGAGTAGCACCCAGGGCTCAGAAATCTGGAGATCAATTCTCCAACAACCCCCTCACTTCCAGGAGCTTTTCTTCCCCGACCACCCGCCCAGCCCCCAGGCTCTTCCTCTGTGGCTGAAACCTCAACGGCCAGTTTCTCCACTTGGGAACTCTCAAGGAGTGTGTTCACCTACTGCTAACTGGGCCTGGATCCACCTGGGAGTGACCCTGAGGGGTCGGTGTGTCAGGTGGGATGAGGAGCGTTGCAGCTCCTTGGAAAGAGCTGGGCGGGGGTCTCATTCCTCTGCCTTCTTCACCGAGGAGCAGGAAAATCCACGATTCCGCTCTTGCTGCAAACCCCAGCTCTCCTTCCATCTGTACATGCCCAGAGGACCGGCCCTCCCGCCCTCTACCGCCCAAGGGTGGGCCCTCAGCTCCACCTGTGGGGGGAGGGGGTGTCAAGTGGGGCTAACAAAGAGGGGCACAGAGCCACACTGCAGCTAGCTGAGCAAGAGCCTGATCTGTTACTCCTGCGTGTTTTCCAGAGGGTAGTTACCATAGCAACTCCTTTGTCCAGGGACACACGCGAGACAGAGCACCTCGGGGGCACACCTTTTATGAGAAGCACGTTCCACGCCTGGCCGTCTGGGACACATCTGGTGGCAGAGAGCTGGGGCACTTTAAGCAGCCCAGAAAGATGGAGGCTGCATCTGACAGTGAAGAAAGGCAGGAACCCAGAGCACGAGCTCAGCCATTGCCAAGTCTTCAGGAGTGCCCACCCTCTCGTCCTCAGGCCCGTTTTGGCATCAGCCATCACAAGGGGCTTTCCTGGCCGGGAGAGGGCTGCCTGCTGCCGAGGGAGAGGGGAGGTGGGCGACACCAGCTGTTCGGCAGGACGGAACAGTTCCCCTCAGCTCTGCACGGGGAGAGGGTGCTGGCTGTGAGGCACGGGGGGCAGGGCACAGGCCCCCTCCAAGGAATTTCCTCATTCACTTCCCTTCCTAGTAACGGATCCTCACCTCTGCGAATGACAGCAACGGCAGGGTCATGGAAGCCCCAGGCTCAGGGTTGTACACGGTTCCTGCCACCGCCCCACCCCACACACCCAGTGGGAAGGGCCCACAGGGCCACAAGCAAGGGGGCAGCCCCCTGGGAAAGCCAGAGCCAGCTTCAGCTCTGCCTCCACTTGCATGGAACCCATGCCTTCCTGCAAGGGAGGGCTTCCTACACCTGATTCATCTTGAATTTTGGAAGGTTTTATGCATCTCTTAACACCTGCCTGGATTAAGGGAAAAGGATTCTGGGAAAGAGAATCGGGAAAGCACCACACCTACAGACGCAAGTCCTTTTCACGGTTTCCAGAGCTCAGTGCTTGGTTGGATTCTCCCTTGGAGGGAGCTTTCAGGAGCCACAGCCCTAGGGGCTACAACCAAAACAAATGGAATCTGCAAGAAACCACAGGAGGAAACTGGGCAAGAGCAGTTAGGAAAGAAGAAACAGACCCCTCACCAGGTTCTCCACCGGCTCAAGCCAAGTCTTCCTGGCCAGCGACAGGAATAGTTTTGTTACCAATGACCAACAGTGGACAGGTTTGGGGTCCAGAGCACTTGGGGTCAGCTCTGGAAAGGACGGTAAGTGTGGGAAGGTTCCCAATGATAAACTGCACGGGGACAAACTGAATGATGAGCAACACCGGCCAGCTTATGAGCTATTTCTTTTAAGATCTTTTTTAAGATCTAACTTGCAAAACACCCAAATATCTCTGGTTCCCACTCCTGGCCAGGGCCAGTCCGGCAAGTAGGGAGCCACTGGATCCATTATCTGTAGTGACCGGGGCCAGCGAGGCGACCTTATTCTCTCCTCCGAGCAGCAAGCACTACCGAGACACCCCTGGGCCCACCATTCCCCAGGCCCACGGAGCATGATTGCTTGAAGGCCGCTTGACAAAATGCCCACAGCCGTGAATAATGGCATTATTTGGAAGCCTTTTCAGCTACAGACCAGCTGTCTGAACGTGAATACCTTTGACAGGTCTCCTTTCCAAGTTCACCCAGAGACCAGAGGCTTAGAGTCTCCCTCCCCCGCCCACCCCAAACATCTTGAACTGAACCATATCTGTTGTATGGAAGCATTCCGTCTATCTTCCTTGAGGGAGATGAAGTCATGGCTTACAGAATTAGACGCCTAACAGC